ACTGACCTGAAATGTGAGGCACTCGAATGTGGTCCTTTTTTCTACAGTGGTCACCAAAGCCGCGGTCATTCGGTCTATCGATGGGCCCTGTAGCAATAACGGGTGAACGATATTCGCGATTGACTGGTAAGCGGGTGAGTGGAGTGAGATGTCAGATCCGAACGATCGATAAACACCGTCACGCGGACGCGCCTGTGTGAATGAATGAACGATACTCTCACTTGGCCTAGAGTACCGATTAAATTACACAGGTCATTTGCCAAAGGTCATCGTAACCCGGGTCTAAGGAGAGTTTGTGAGATGCACTTTTAGCTTATGAATCTCTTGTGGTGATTCTCTGCCAACACTTAGACAGCATCAGATTCGGAATCTGTCCTTCTCCTGTGTCGGCCCGAAAATCACACGACCGATTGGGTTCATTTATCGATCGGTCGAATGGTTCAGCCGCAACAAGGGCCCTGGTGCTTGCCCAGCTAACCCGAGCGAGAAACCACACCACACACAACAGAAGCGAACGAACGAATAAATGTCTACAGAGGTTAATGATACACATTTTTCAATAGAAAATCATGAATAGATTGCACAACGGACAATCAGTATGAATATGGGAAAGAAGTCCATGTTCTGAGGATACTTCGTGGCAGATATTTCACTCGTTTTAGATGTCATTTCCCGCTCAGTTTATTCGAACTGGTCCATCTTTATTTTCCTCGAATGGGTTAATAATGATGTGATTACTATAGATAAAACAGTTGTACATTATGGTGGAAGTCATATATAATCAATTCTGTGGTTAGCCTAACGTTGCAACAGAATGGAGGAATATGTGGAATTAATATGGGATAATTGGGTCAGAAAAGGTTCCCCTGAAGAAAGGTTGGTAGATTCGGGATAACTAGACACATAGAATTGAAAAGTGCTGAATGCCGGATGCAATGTACCGGCTGAGGGCGTCATAAAATATTCAAATTTCTGCGATATATACAGGCTACGTAGGACGGTACATCTAAATTCCGTTATAAATAAAGAGTTTATAATAGTAACTATTGTGAACAACTAACGGGATTAACCTACTTTTCATTGATCCGGTTTATTTTGTCACAAAACTGTCAACCGATTTTTATACTACTTATTAGCACCTACTACCGGTGCCCCTGCTATGTCGCAGTTCCTGATATTTACCCACTTTTTCGAATTCCCGAGGGATGCGACATAGTAGCAGATTGACTGTATATATATTTACAGCCTCTATCAATGTCGATAGGGCTTAAATTTCCCTATGAGAAACACGAGATCCATGATGTACCGATCTGCATTGAAATGCTGCACTACAATGCAGTGAAATGTGTACTATCCTAAGAAAATCTTACTCAAATACTCACTACCCCCAAATGACCTAAATCAAGAATGTCTTTGTGCTAGCACTCTTCAACTGTTCAGCAGTTCATGTTTGACATTCGTGATTCATTGATTCGTCTGGGTGATTAAACAAACAGAAACTTTCGTGACCACATGTTCGATCGCCCATTGGTACATGGAAAAAAAACATTTAAACGTAGCATGAGATGCATCTTATCATTCACATTATGGTTATCAGAAAACTGAGGGTCTGCATTGTTTATGCGCACTCTTTCTTCACCGATTACCCAGTGATCGTATGCATCGTTTTAAGGGATGACGAATTTTAACTGGATTACCTGAACAGAATCCGGTGCACCATCCTGTTTGGCATCGTCCATCAGCGCCTGACGAACTTCTTCAAATTCATCCGGCTTATATAGGGTGGGCACTTCGCCGGAACTGAGCATGTTGTTTATGTCTTCCAGAAATGATTCCTCGACCACTTGAGTATCCGTGAACAGAAACAGTGTTGGTTTGTTTTCCACACCCGCTTGCCAGTACATTCTCTTCAAATCTGTATACGAAATGGGGAATCATACGTTTCCCTCGATTCACACCTGGTCAGCCTAGCAATTTTGCAGTTGAATCAAGGTGAACTCAGTGTAGATTGTAATACAACGATAATCAATATAGGTCACGGTTGCTGTGTCTTAGTGTGCACAAATGAGAACCTGGGGCTCGTCTGATGGATTGGGTAAAAACGGATGAAGAATCGTGAACAACTGTAGACCACTGTGATCAAAATTACCTAAGTGAAACAAGATTCAATCAGACGACTTAATTTTCCTGAATAGTTTTCAGTCCACCTTCATTCACATTCCATCTATAGTCCATCTATAGCAGTAGTCGAACTAATGTGAAAGACATAAAGCTAAAACGAAGAGTGTTTTGATGTCTGCGGAGTTATCAATTTGTAAAATCACCCTTAAAACCAGACCGAGTCTTTTCCGGTTCAAAACTTACTTTGAAACAAGTGCACAACAAACACCCGAGGCGCGTCTTTGAAGACGGTTGGCCACTCAAGGAATCTTTGTCGGACGTTAGATGATTACAATACAGCTGCTGAAAATGTATCTTGGTGCATGTTCAGAACTGAGAAAGGCACATTCGTGTCTCAAAGATGATGAAGACAAAGCGATTCTTATACCAATATCAAAATACATTCTTCTATTGACATGGAACGCTACCCAAGATACTGTGCTACGTACTGAATTCGAATGAATGTCAACTGAGTACCGTTCACAAAAATCGGGTCATCTTAGTACATGTGGGTGTACTTTGGAAGTTGTGAGCACCATTCACATAGGGTTTGGTGTGATCTGTTCCGGAGAAGTGGTGCGCTCCTTCTTATAGCCATCAGTGTACCCTCGATCAAGTTAGTTGGGAAACTTGTTCTACATTAAATTTATTGATCACGTATGTCATGCATGATGAAAAACCGAACGTAAAATACCAGAGATAATATCACATTCCAGAACATTAAACCCTCTATTGACTTCCTTTTTCCCCAACCGGAAGAACTGATAACGGACAGGAAATGTGAAATGAATCACTCAAAGTAGAACGGTCTCTGTGTGTGGTTAATTTCACTGCTTTTCGGCCGTCGTAAAAAAACAGANTAACTGTTGTGAACTAGGGAGGGTGAGGGAAGGTCATGTCACGTCATGCTATATAGTAGGGTGGTATCAAGTGTGATATCATCACTACCACGGCAAAAACAGTTGCGTCACAAATGTTTTTGAAAACTTAATTGCGGTTTCAAGGGATGAATAATTATCGCTTCTAACAATCGCAAAGTCCGTGAACTTCGAGGCCTCGCAATGACTCGAAACGCTTT